CCCCCCCCCCCCCCTGTGCTATCTGTGCTATAACAAGATCACGTAACGCAATCACTGCGCGGCGTTATTTTGTTATGGAAAAAATACTCAAATGCTTTTGAAGCATCTCTTCTAATTATATCTAGGGGTACAAATGACGTAGTCARGCGTTCTCGCGCCGTTCTTCCTTTCAAGGAAGCGAGAGTAAACGCCCGAGTAGCGTCTAGTTATTACCGTATATGATGAAAAGGTAAATTATACACCGACGAAGGACTAGCGTCCGAAACGTCAGTAAGTTTTTTCATATTTTCACGGTGTATAATTTACCTTTTCATCATTACTGTTTCATTAGAAACACCGACGCAGCTCACACTAGTTTTTAGCTAGTTATCTCTTTTTATTACCGTATAGACACATTCGAAGGTTGGAAAAGACGTCATCGAGGTCCCGGATGTAGTTCGTATAAAAAATATACGAGTGGCGTATTTTTCAGTAAAACACTAATGTCTATTACTTATTACCGAAAAATGTCTTGTTGAAATTTGTAGTCTTGTTTGTACAAATGAACTTGATTTCTTCTAAAACATACTGGTAAAATGTATTGCTTATTATTACATTTGGAATTGAAGATTCGTTTTAGCATCGGTTTTCGGCCGTTTCTATCGCAAATAACTAGGCTCTCCGGTAGACGTTTTTTCTAGCACACGTAGCTATAGATCGACAGTAGTCGAGAAATCAAATATACTTTCTTCGCTGAAAGACATTTTGTGTCGATAATTATGAATGTTTTGAAACATTTAAAAAAGGTTCGACAATAAACAGCAAGACAACATGACAGAATTCCTCTGTCAAAAATGCCATTTATAGAATGTATTTWAAAAAATTATGTATAAGCTTTAATTTCAAATAAAATTCCTTTGTCCAACCTTATACAAACACATCTAAACAGCAAGGTAACATGACAGAATTCCTTCGTAAAAAATGTCATTTATAGAATTTGTTAAAAATAAGGTTTGTTAAAATAAGCTTGTTGTTTTAAATCCACATAAAAATTCCTTTATCCTACCTTATACAAACACATCTAAGCTAATTCAGTTCAGTTTAATAGTGCAGTACAAAATTTATTACACTTTTGCATCCATAAGTCGGCGACAACGCGTCGAAGAACAAGAGGATCTCGTTATGAGAATGTCCTTGTAGTTTAGAAGAGTCTCAAATAACCGTTTATCTAAATAAATAAATCATTTAATTAAAAAAACTTAATTTGCTCGAGAAACAAAGGGGCGCCGTACCACGAAGTTTGAAATGGCTTCCACATTGAACCAATCAAAAAGAGAAAAAATTTACGTTATCCAATCAGAATGCTTGAATACGAAAGCCATTTGAGAGCCACGGTACTGTATTTTCTTCCGCCAGGTGGCGGTGTCTTTTAATTCGTCAACTTTTTACGATTTTCAAGGTTCTATACTTCATTTCAACTGACTTTTTCATACCTCTTCCGCCCTCCTAATTTCCTCAAGGAAAAAAGTCTTCGTTAGGTCGTAAAGCTCCTACTGTGTGTGACTTTGTCTCTCAAAAAAATTGAAAACAAATAAGCCGTAGACGTAGCTTTTCGCATAGGATTGAATAATTGCTTTTTTAAAACTTTATTAAACACAGCTGGAAAGCCATGTTTTGTAGTTTCATATGCTGGAAACGTCACTATATATCATTATAGATATAGTCATAAGTATTTAATATGTTTTTTCAACTGTGGAGTACGTGGTTCATTATATCTCGCGCTTAATTAAGAGAGTAGTAAAAATAGAAAATACTCGCAAATAAACTCTCTAACGTTTGACACAGTTAAGGGGTTTTCGATGATATGTTTTTATATAGTTGACGAAGATAAGAAAAACTTTTCTTAGGGTTGTTTTTCTTCTAAAATGGCGAGCGGTGATTCGCTCTTATCACAGATTCTGCTGCATGGTTGATTCAAAAGATAACCAGATCGCATTGCACATCAACTTCAACTGTTGGTCAAAATTTAGCCATGTACTCATACGGTTACGCCTCTATTGTACGTAACATTTTGCCGATTGTTGACGTCATATCATCGGAAATTTGTAAATTTATACTCCTCCGTGATGAATCAGAATAGCGTTAACGTCATAGTAGCAAACGATTGTCGTTTCTTTTGACAAAAAACACACATGAAATATCAATACATCAATACGCTTATAAAACTGAGCCCAATAAAGTGATACTTATGTTTCTTAAGTGACATAAAATGTCGTCAATCGGTCTCGATGGCTTGATGAAATAGGCGACAAGAGTATTGGCAAATCTTTCCGCTGCAGCAAGTCGTTAACACAAGGAATGGCATTAACAGACCTTAAACTTACGCTGAAAATGATAAAGACGAGTGTTTACTACCAGTGATATTTATATTGCAAAGACGCAGCAAGGGAAGGGGGGGGGGGGGAGTAAAGAGGCAGAGCCCCTCCCCCCTTTGTGGCAACAAAATAGCATTCAAAAAAATAATAAATTCCATCGTACCCTGAGGATGGGCGAGTATGCCCGAAAGCTCGGTTTATATCAAAACTAATTTGGTTGAGGAAACAAACAATTTTACTTAAAAATAGCAGCTTTTGGCGGTAATTTCTTCTTTTTTTTTTTTGTTTTTTGTTGCAAAAATAAAACGTGGGTTAAAACAATTACTTCTGTAAAACAGTTATTTATTGATCGTACTTTTTGTTTGCTTTTCTACTGTTTCTAATATTATCCAGTAATACATGACTCTTATTGCTTTAAGGCCAATGATAAGTTTTATGATTTTTTCACTAAGCGATTATAAATGGATGTATAGTTTTTTAAGTAGCTTGGTGAAATAACCGGGAATTACGGATTAGCTGTTGTTTTCAAACAATTCTTGTCTACACTTGCTAAACTCTCACTTAAAGGCTTGTATGGTCGTTCATTTGACAAATACAAGATCAATAGACCATATGAAAACGAGTGTAAGACTAGGAAAGACCAACACAAACAATTAATGATTTCAAAAATATATTGTTTTCATTACAAGAAAGACCATGTCTAAATCAGTAATTTCGGATAGTTCTGTTGTTATATATTAAATCCCTGAAGAGCTATAACTATTTATAAAGGCCGGTTTAGACGGTACGATTTTCGCCTACAACTATTGTATACAACACGCTCGCGCCATCCTACAACTCGAGTCGTAGCGTGTAAATCAAGCCTACAACTCGCCTACGACAGGCGCGAGCGTGTTGTATACGATAGCATGATAACGATGCTGGTAGGCCCTTGGTTGTTGTTTCCATACAATTCAAACCTTTCTAATTTCAAACAGCTGTAGCTTTTTATCATTTAATGTTACTACAATACAATTTAGGACAATCACTCTTTCTAATGAAAGCATTGTTGTCTAAGGTATCTCAAGAGAAACGCCCTTTTTCATATGATCTATCAATTGAGTTCATTTTCTCTTAACAAATATTATTAAATATTTTTTATATCCTATAACTCACATTGACATGTTGCCACACCGGCGTTAGACCCAATTTAAACGCCGAATTTCACATGTGCCGAATCTAATACAAATAAGCAATTCCTATTGTTTGAATTCATTTGTATTAGATTCGGCACATGTGAGAACGGTGGTTTATAAAACGGCCTGGAGCAGCTAAGAACAACATCCTATATTTCAAAATATCTTGATTAATGACTGTTATAAAAAGGAAGGTATTTCAAGGAACTTTTTATAGCGTTTAATCCAATTTTAAGTATTTGGATCGTGGATTGAAAACTCGAAAACATTTTCCGAAAACCTACATGACAAGCCTCTACCACAACTATCGTTCTTTTCCGGACGATTCTTTTCTCTGATTTGCAATATTTGTTTCTACCGCCTTCGAGCCACAATAATTGTTTTTGCACCAGCTTGAGCTATGGTCATTTGGAAGTCGCCTGTAGACCACTACAGGGAAAAATGGCGGGAAAACGAATGGAAGGATTTCCAGCAGAACTGAGTACGAAAATAGCAACTGAAAACATATGATAAGTTGGTTAACAGAGGTTTATCTTGAGACATGATAATCTTGTTTATACTTAACTTTCTAGCTTAATTCCTTTAAAAAAGGTAATAAATTATCTTGGGGGACTATATACTTTTATGAGTGTTAAATAAAATAAAATGCCTATCATGACTCAAGAGGAAGTTTAGAGTCGACGTTGTTCTTATAACCCTACGAGATTCTATTGATGAAGATTTTGTTCATAGTGCACTGCTTTGATTCAAGTTTTCAGATATCTAGCCGTTAGGCTGCTATTATTTTTTACGTTTAAATATACCAATGACTCTCTTAAAAGTCTTAGTGTTATGAGATTTATTGAGAGTTTTCGTCATGACATAAATTAAGTTCTGTTTGTAGTAATTGTGATAGATCTAATTTGGCCAAATCGGTTTTTTGTACCGCATCCAACGCACTTATTTTTATGGCTGAAATTGAGGAAGCAATAGGAGTATCAGAGACCTACTTAAGGATATACCTCACTGATTGTTTTCAGGACGGTATAAATAGCACTGAGCTCAAGCGGACGATCACTTGAAGTATTCTTTTCGCCTTGTATTTTTTAAAAAGCCGGGATAAATAGATGAGAATTATGCTCAAAATACTGAAGATAGCTCATCTTCTTGCATTAGTCTTTACAGCTGAGCTTATTAATCCAGTTTCTTCCATCACGTCTGGTTTAATGATCAATGTCGATAGGCCAAAGCCTGATCCTACGATGTCGTTGATCGGCAGTCGAAGAAAAAGGTACTTTCAGGAATTATTCGATTTAAAGGAAAAAAGATTGATGGCTGCTTATGATTTGATGTTGAGAAAAGAACAGTTAGATTTTGAGGTAAGCTTGTAACTTACAGAGATTGAACCCTTCTCTGAGCTGATCAGTTAGGGCATGGCGAACTCACAGATTGAACCCTGAAACAATCTATGGGCCGATCTAAGTCAGGGCATGGCTAACTCACAGATCCAACCCTGAAACAACTTCTTCTGGGCTAATCTAAGTCAGGGCATGCAGGCTAACTCACAGATTGAATCCTTCTCTGGGCTGATCAGTCAGGGCATGGATACTCACAGCGAACCCTGAAACAACATCTGGGTTGATCAAATTCAGGGCACGACTAACTCACCCTGAACAACCTCTGGGCTGATTAACGTCAGGGTCGGCTAATTCATATCTAATTGGAATTTAACCTCTTAGTCATAGTTTTTGTGGAGTTTAGAAAACCGGAGAACCCAGAAGAAAAAACCCAGCACCGATATACAGGATTCGCGTTCTTGAAAACTTGAAGCGTTTCCATTAAATTAACTACACAGAATTGTAAAATAAAGCAAAATCTAGTACGGTTAAAAGTTAAAATAAATAAAAATTTTAAAAACTCGCTTAGCTAATTGCGTAACCAAAAGAAAAGAAAAAAGAGAAGAAAAAAGACTAATAGTTGCATCAAATTTCTTATTAATCAATTATAAAAACCTTTGGTATTTTCAGAGTCGAAAAAGCTTCTGCGAAAAAGTTCTACCCTACTGTCAAACCCGAAAAAGGTTGGTAGAAAGAAAGCTTGTAAAGGCGTGAAGCTGGAACTAACAGCTGCCGGGAACTCGAAAGTGACTAAGGACGACGACAAAATTCCCGTGCACAAGTCTCCAACTGCGTTGGCCTCTTAAATCGAAAACTAATCAATTAACTAAATGTTCTTTCTTAGTGCGAAAATTAAAAATCAACTCTYTAGAAAAGAATCACATCCTCAAGTGAAAACTCGTTAGTCTAAAAAAAGGAATTAATTTGAAAGTAGGTAAGATAATGAATGAATATCATGTGCAAATATACTTGTAACTTTTAGTGAAACGACAACGAGCAATGAAAGTATTTTTGTTAAATAGCGGAGTTTTGACCTGTGTTTATGAAAAATAAAGAATAGCATTTAAAATACCTTTATCGACCTTGGCCAAGGGTCAATGTTATCACCTGCTTAGCCACACTATGTATTGTCAAGTTCAAACTCGTACTGTCAAACTCGTTACTGAAAATGTTCTTTCAGCTTTAAAATATCTTAAATTCATTTATATTAATAAATAAAAAATAAAAAATAACTTGATGACAAGAAGATACACATGGGATTAGAACATTCTTGACCGAATACTGTGGAACGGAGATGACTTTTCTTATTTTTAGCAATTAAAAATAAATGAAAATGTTAATGGTTTTTTTTTGTTATTTAAAATGATACGTATACCTAGAGTGCATGCGCATGTTTACCGGACAGTATTCCTATA